GGGTGATTGCCTCCAACAAAGAAATTAGCGAACATTCATCAATGTAGCCAAAATATGCTCACTTCATGTATTATTAATGTTGTTTTTTTATTGAAATTGATTTATAAACTTCGTGGGTGACACTATATGTATGCCAAAGAAAGAAACACGTAAATCAAATAAATCTGCCACGCACATTATGGGGCTTGCTTCTAAGTGACGTCAATCCTTAGTGACATACACTGAGGCTTATGTATGTGTGTTTTGGTTAGCCTATAGGGGTGGACGTGAGGAATCTTGGTCTCGCTAAAAGCAGCTAGGCTGTCTGGCATTTCTTTCGCACCACAACTCCGTCGACTCAGATGAAAGTATAGTTTGCGCACTTTGCAATGTACAGCGGGCACGCATCTCGACACGCAACCGTCCTCGTGATTGATGCATCCTGTTGAAAATAGTACAGCGGATTACTGCGTTGAGAACTCTCCCAGAGAATCGAAAATAAGGGCTGCAGTGTTTGTACATGCGCGTCGTTATGGCTGACTCTTATATTGTGTTTTGTTAAGACTTTGTGAGGAAACTAAGGAAACGACAGAAGGGCGGCCGCATGTATGCCGGTCGAACCCAAAATGTATGCCACGTAACCGGTAATCAGTACATCCCATATAGTTATCATTATGTAGATGTTCGAACAGCCTACGTAAATTTTAAAATACGCAAACTTGTATTGACTAGATGTGCTTAGCTAGGAATCATTATTGGTAGTTTGTATCATTTAACGACTTAAACACGTTACGAATTTGAGCTCGTCTTCTGAGCAACGTTCGAAGCCAGCTTCGACAGCGAATTCTGAACACCGAAGGTTTCCTCAAATACGCGTCAAGAGACCGTCATTTCTTCTATTGTTTGACTCTGGCCGTTCTTAGTAACTAGCAGTTGTTTGCCAGAGAGCGAATGCTTTGTGCGCTGGCCTTCAAGAACTGGGCCTCTTCCCGAGGTGAGCACCACCTCAGATCTTAGCAATGCCCTCTTGCTGTTAAGACATATTTTTCAGTAACGATCTCTAAAGATCACAGACGCAGCAAACGGGGTTTGGTGCAAAACTCAGCTTGCCAGTGGTAGATCGGGAACTGATGTCGGTGAAGTCTGCTGCCGCGGTTTTTCGTAAATTAAATTATATCAGACAGCGCTGTTACAGATATGTATGTGATAATGCAAGATAATTATCCGCTATGAAGAAGGCATGTACTCAGTTATTCATTTCGAACAAAAAGGAAAGGTATTAAAAATTAATTAAGTTGAACAAACGCAGTTTTGACATTGCTGAATCTTGCGATGCTGAAATATGTGGCTTTATACACCGTATTCTAACGGTCGTCTTCTTTTTCGTATATTTGTTAATTGATCGTAAAAAATACCGCTTTAGCTAATTCCACATGCTGATTTACACGCTACTAATTTGTGATTACGCAAAGGAGGGTCTTATCGAGCGTGCGTTTGGCTATAATGGCCTGCGCTAGCTATTACACTGGCATCAAGCAAGTGAGGTATGTTGACCCACATAGACACAAAAAAGGAGAGACGGTTTTCCCTGATGCGGTGTGCTAAGGTCAGACACTTATACCCACCGTTTGCGTCTAGAAACCCTTAGTATTAGTTGTTCACAAACAATCGTCGATTTCAGCAGCGCGTGCGAGATTCTTGCTTGCACCCAATGAGCGAGAGACATACCTTTCTCATTCTACAGTCCTTCGCCTCCATCTCTTCTTTCATGACTGATAAGGACCATTCAACTCCGTAACTGCGTCGAATACAAGGCTCTCCGGCTACCAAGGCTCTTCGAAGAGAAGTGCTGAAATCATCTTAGCATTTCTGCTCAAGTACCTGTCTCTTCGCTTGTCTGTCTAGGCTAGTTTGAAGAACTATACATCGGAAATTCATCCGCAATTAAAATGGAGCGCGTTGACTCACAAGCCCATTATGATAGTGCATCATCCGTTAGTCGCGCTCTTTTTCCCCTCACGATGCTACTACATCGCGACAGAAGGAGACAATATACTGCTATAGAAGAAATAGTCCAAAGGACGGGTAGTGGACGTCAGAAATCAGGGTACCTACCCCTTACTCAAACGATTTTAAGGCGTCATCGAAAGTGACTTTGATGGCTCGTAATGAAGATCGTAAAGGCAAGTGGCTCCTTGCTAAGGGACCACAAATTTGCCAAACAAAATGTCTAGCCAACAACAAAATTTGATCTATTTCATCTTAGCATGTTTTATTCAGGTGATTCTTCCTATTTCTATGCCCACTGACTACCCGCTTCACTAACACTACTGCTGTCATCGTAATGTTAATTTGATCGTCTCGAGCTGCATGACTGACTTATATAATGACTTGCTAAAACTGAACATGAGTGGGCATATGCGCACATGCGTTATATAACTAGGTAAACTAAGAAAAGGTTAAGATGGGGTTGAGACTGATCTTACGAAGAACAAGTTGGCTTTCATTACCGAGTAAGCTACAAAAGGATCAACTGGAGGACAACTGGATGATTCGCGGAGACCTTATGGTCTTCGGGACGCATCCAGTGAAGAGGATAGTCAATATAAATGGACCAATTGGCGTCGACCAGACCGAAAGGTAAATAAGAACCTTCAAGGGCCTTTGTAAGCTGGGAGCAAACTCGTTTTCCAATATGACATCGAAGGAACTCCAATTCTAAGGGAAAGAAGGATAATGCTATTATTAATGTCTGAATCATCTGACGCAGCTTATCGGAATCCGAGCATGGGAAATAAACAATAAGTGGATAGCAGAGATGAGCCTATATGAAAAGACTCGCCGCAGTGCTTCAGTATATATTATTGATGGAAAGAACAACATTAGGTAAACACCGTTTCTTCATATTGATTTACCTGCAGACTCAAAAGAGAAATACGTGGCAGAAGATTATTGAGGTTCTGTTTTTATGTCACATTTTTGGTTGCAAACCTTTAGAATAGCTTTTAGTTACATTCGCTAGCAGAAACAACAAACCGAAACAAAAAAGCATACCATACATAAAGCATACGTATCAGGAGCGCGATATTAAAGTTTTTCGTGAGAACTATTAAAACCCCTACGCTAACGCGCACCAGAATAACTGACCCAGTTATCGCTCGTTAAAGCTTGATCCGTAACTTTCTTAAAGAACTTCGTTTGTGAATTATGTTCATGGACACCAGCTTTCACTTCTAGGTGTTTGTTAGAAGAATGTAGGATTTTAGCCAGGGCTTTACAGTCGGCGTTCTCGTCTGTAAGCGCTTTCAACTGCTACACCTTCTCTTTTGTGGAGGAGGCGTAATGTTCCTGTTGTAAATAATATAACAGACAAATAATATCGAACAACTTAGTGCTAAAATTGATGACAATAACCGAAGTAAATCCCTAGGCGGAATAAACTATTAACTACAAAAAGACATGATACGTAGGCAAGTGCGAATCAAGTGTTACAGCCTAAAAAATTGTTCAAAAGAAATAAGCTAATGAATTCAACATTAAACTAGGAAACACGGAAGGTACAATCCGAAATAAGAGACAAACTTCACTTTCTACAAAGCCGTTTTTACCGTTCCTGCTCGTAGCCTGTATGGATAGTCCTTCCTACTGGCGCACCTACATTGAAATCTAACGACAACCGTTCACTGTTTGAAAATGAAGTAGATAACTATACAAAGAAATTTTTTTCTTTCGTTTATTTCGAGTGGCTTTTTGTAATTGACGCTAAGCGAAACTGGTCGGAAACCGTACGCTTCGTCGGAACAAGAAATTGCTTGGACGGAGCGCAAAACCTAAGCTGCGCTGAGATACAAATTAGACATTGGATACTATACAATATGCAACAGCCTCACTGTCGTCTGCGTCACATGTGGTACACGTCGTCTTTCCTCTTAGAAGAGTTTTGGAAGTAGCCGCTGAGGACCATCGTGATAGGTCGCTTTTCAAAAGATTTTCGTGTATAGCTCTCCAATTTTTACTTTTACCTCGGGACGCAACCCTTATCGTGCTCGCTGCTTTTTTTTGTAAATTGCTTTACCTGGCCTTTCCTTAGGCAAAAACCTGTATACAATTCATTTTTTCCCGCATCTTAACCGTAATTCATCATAGTACTGCCCTACTTACAGCAGTGGTGCCATAGGCGGCTCAGTATACTCTGCAGCGAGAAAGCCGCTGTGTTTTCCTTAAGCGGTCCTTGTTTTGTTTTGATTTCGTAGCGTTTGTTCAGACAGAGGCCCCTCATAGAACTACGGAGTACGCTACCAAAGCCAATAGCTTTGTTGTTCTTACAGCCAGTGTCCTGGGTCTCAACATTAACGTGCTAAGCTTCTGTGCAACTTTCTTTGTCGTTTGCTTCACGTGGGGTGTTCCAGTTGAGCCTTATTCGTAGGTGGCCAACTTTTATTACTGATTAAACCCGGTATTCCTTTGAAACAATGTCAAGGTCTCCGGACTGTTTCTGATGGCTAGCATGGCCTTTATTTGCTAGCTAGACTAGTTTTAGTCGATAGCTGCTGATCGAGCCCGCCGCGCTGCCCAAGGTTGGTTAAGTTTGTTTTGGTCTCGAGTCTCGTTTAACTGGATTTAGTTTGTTACTAGCACTAATTACCAACGTAATGTAAACGCTCCGTTGTAAGTGAGGCTATATAAAACTAATATCATGACCTGTAGTTAAATTTTTTGATTACTTAATAAGTTTAATATATTCCCTTCTCTCCTAGCATGCTTAATATCACTTTCAGTGCAATATTTCGAGCCATTTTTGAAGTCTCCGTATCTTTCGTCTTGTCTTGCCGCTCTCTCTTGAAGCGTTTCACGATCAATACGACGTTCAAAGAGGTCTATCTTTCTTAAATTTGAAGCAATTTTCTGAAAGAGCTTCCCTTCCGCCCATTTCGTTAATTAACTGGTATATGATAACGAGTTCAGTTATACTAACAACTATGCTAAGCAGAAGAGTAACCTGTATGAAATTGGTTGTTTAGTTGGCTTAGTAGTCTTAGGAATCAGTATCAACATAATCAATGTATAATTCCTTGGCAAGTGATCTTCTGCCAAGAATCTGCCGGTCGATTGTCGGGAACGTGGCTAAAGCAGTTTCTAACCCCATAATATACTGTTCTTCTATTTCTCCCACTGCTATTCTCATAAAACTGCTTTTGGGGGGTCAACTCAGCACAATTCTGGACTACATAGGCTACATGTTTCAGAAAATGACTTAATTGTTTGAAATTGGTATCTGATTTGAGATACAGTTGATTTAGGATTTTGGATGGCATTTCTCCTATAGTTTACCTTAAACTAACTCGTACCAATTTCACGAAAGATCGTCTTCGATTTCCTCGATGAGCTCTTATAACGGCTTTTCTTTGTTTCTTCTAGTTCCCAGCGTAAATTGGTTTTAGTTTTTTTTTTCAGAATACATACGATTACTTCATGAAACCCCTTCTGTTAGCTTCACATGGTACACGTACTTCTTTTTTTGCGCAACGTTTTCTAGCGTCTGCTTCTAGTAATTAGACCTTCGCCTATCGATCATGGAATGCAGTAAGTTTTCGCTACGAGCGAACGAGCGCAGTTGCCACTTCGCAGTCATCATTTCCGCTTTTATTGTTGGATTGTAACCCATAGAATCAAGGAAAGGAAACACGAAAGGCTTAGTACGATATCCAAAATCAAAAGGCAGTACTTTTTTTTACACAAGTCTTGGTGGGGAGTTGCAAAGGGAAGCCTAGTCTAAATACTACTTGCCATTGCGATCACCCTCGTTTCGGAAATTTTCAGTCTACTTCAAGGGCAAGATGAGCCCTTAAGGTTTTCTGTTATTTGCTGTGTTCGTAGCTTCAAAGCATCATCTGACGCAGTATCGCAAGAGTCATATTAGAAAAAGTGAGTCCTTCTTTAATGTCAACTGAAATCCTATATACATATATATATATATATATATCGGCTGTCATTTTACCAAAAGAATCCATCTCAATGATGGAGTTTCCAAGCCTGAATTGCTATCAGGTTAATCGGGCAACGCCGTAATAGAAAAAGTAAGGAATAGTGCCAATTCAAATCGCATGTGAGAAATATCCTAGCTGTCAGCACTTTTAGAGCAGAATAAAATCGAAAGAAAAAAGACTGAAGACGTAATATCCTTTAACGTTCGCGAAAACTTAATTTTTCTCTCAGAAAGGCCTTACACTGATTACCTCTGATTTCCACTCTGTCAATAAGCGTCAAATGCAAAATTATTGCGGTCCCACTAATCAAAACTTATTTTTTCAGCTATTTTAATTCGGGTTCATGTCAAGTTGACATTCGTTACGGAAGGCGATACAAAAAAAAGTCACTATTCAATTTAAAGAGCCTCCACTTACTGCAATGGAGAAGAACATGAACCGCGTATCCTAATATCATCCCTATATTCCTGTAATACTAAGCATACTACAGTGTGCCCTAATATTAGTTAATGAAACCGTTTGAATGGCTGTAACAGCCATTGTTGCAGTAATGGCATTATACCAATGTTATGGCATCATAGCATAGTACCGAAAAAATATAGAAACAGTATTAGGATACCCTCGTTACCAATACGTTGTACATTTGAGCCTGCCATTTTTTGCAATGATTTCCATATGTTCCGCTACTCGAAGAGATGTGAAATTAAAGCCCAATCTGTTAAGAGACTTTTCTAGGCTGTCCATTGATTGATTTCTGGCTCATAGTATACGTTCGATGCGCGGCAACGTTATGTTCTTTTATAATGCTTTCGCGAGGTCGTTAATCAATGAAATGTTTCTGGGAGGGATGTGCGAGGCTGATTTATTATGAGCAGTTTCAGATTGATTGAATGTTTTCTTTACAGGAGGCGCGGCGGCAGTCAGTCCACGATGATGCTGATGGCCACCTCATTTATAAAATTGGTGACGTCATCAACGAGAGATGTAAGCCAAAACTTAACCGTTACCTATCTATTTTTGTCTATTACCTAATGTGGCGCATATAGCTAATGTCGATGTTACCTGGAAATTTGAACACCATTTGGTTCCTTGTTACGAGTTAAATAACGATTTAAAAACACAATATCAAGCCCACTTGGGCTCATTAGCTAATGTTCGTAATACTTTTTTTAAAACGATTTATTTTTATGAATGCTAGTCCAGAGCTGCAGTGTTTTTCGTGACGGACGGCAAATGTGTAAGTCACGAAAAGCTGGACGTTTCCAAGTAGTTCTTGAAATTCTTCTAGCGCATCCGAGTTAATATATTACTACATACACTTACCAGCAGTGGTTTAGCGATAGGCCTTGCTTTGTTTGTATGCATTGGGACCTGTCACGCTGGCAGGCAAAGGACACTGACGAGTCGTCTTTGTGAAGAGTGTCTTCAATATTAACCTCTAGTTCAATTCAGACTAGACCCATCTTTCTGCAATCCTAATTTTTATTCCTTTTTCAGGAATCAATCTGGAAAGATGAAAATTAATGTTTTTACATCGGGGTAGAATTCTTTGGACAATGGGCCTAAACGGTGCAAATGTCATTAGATGGTTTTCGCTGTAAGTAAATATTGCTTTCTATTAAGAAAATTACCTATTTTTTTGTTTTCTTAAAGTCTCTCACCTTATCGTTACGATGGACAAGCATGATCTAAGTATAGCTATCCACCCTTAATTAAATTTTTATGCCTATATCATAAAAGCAGTTAAATAACTTGTTTGTAATCAATAAGTTATTGACATGAATTATAGCTTTTCTTGATATGCTGTGTTCATCGTCCTTTTGTCAAGCCAAGCCTACACACTTTGGATATGTAGGACTTAGGTTTATAATATATCCTACGAAACGTCTTCTTCGTTTAGTGAAATCGGTATCGGGTCTCTCGATAGCTCCGTAGGGAAGCGATGCATGACAGCCTCAGCGGCCATTTTCCGCTGGTAATTTCAGGGCCCCCTTTTTCGGCTTGTTCATAACAGCTTGGTAGAATAAGCCAAACCTGTCGTCTTCTACCTCTCCAATGAATTTTTTCACTTTGCCACCTTGCTTTGCCCAATGAGAATGCAGCGACTTTTATGAGCAAACCTCAGGACTTCGTCTTCTCTTCTTGCCTGTAATGCTGCCCTTCCCTTTCGCTCCTGTTGGTTTGTTCTACTCTCCCAGATGCGTCTTCTTCTTTGCATCTCCCTCGTAGCCCGATCCGTTTGAGGCGGGTCGCCGCAGTCTCTATACTCCACCAGTAAGTAGGCCGTTAGCGTCCTGCCTGAAAGGACCCCGCTGCAGTTTTTTTTTGCAAGCATTTACATGTAATCGCCTTCACTGTTCCCGGACAACGGCCTTGTCAGCTTGGGTAGACCCTCCGTCAATTTGATTTTTGAGCCGCGTATGAATGTCTGACACCTTGCGTTAGATAGGGGAGCACTGTTACGCTCAATCGTCGATGCTCACTTGGCATAGAACGTACCTGTGATCACCTGTTCAGCAGTTCGCAATTTTCTAATCTCTGGAAGCGCATCCTGACTCACGATTATGAAATATATATAAGCTGCACCCATTTGCCACGAAAGAAGGTGATGACCCCTTCATTGCTCGTGGCAACAAGGTCTCGTTCTACAAGCCACTCCTGTAAATAACGTTTCCATATTGTATAGCCGTTACCACAAAACGTTCCAATCTTTCCGTAGCAAATCACGGTACGATAATAAGACAACTTAATTTGCCACGTTTATTAATTCTGCGTGGAAGCTTTATGCCTGGTGAAAAGCTGAGCTTCATTCGTGGTACGACGTCGATCTTGCTCTCATTCAGAAATAGGATCCATGTCGCGTTATATTAACTTCGTGGTAAGCCCCGTTACCTCTCGGACATCTATTTTCTTATCTGCGTATAATGTGTGCAAAAATAGTCCCGCTGGTAGACTTGGCTTCATGGAGGTCTTTGTTCCTGTTCTTTATGGCAAAGCCCATCTTTGCTTTGACCCTGTTCAGCTTAATATGATCGCTGAGAGCGTGAAAAGTGGCCTCTTCCCAAGTCTGTCCCTCTTTCACCATAACCCTGGCAATGCTCTGCTCAGTAGTGTTTCTTTCCTTGGACCTGCATCGTTTGCATGAAAAGACAGGCCCCTTCTTTTCATTAGTTTGATGCGACAGTCGTATTTTCTGCAGTAGATTTTGAGCATTCATCAAATCCATAGCACGGGCCACTTCTTTGAAATGTGGAGCGTCGGACGATCTGCGATCCGTAAGTCCGTTAAATGTTTGCCGCTTTCAACGATCTTTGACAGAAGACACAAGAAGCCGATCAATGTTTTGTTTGGTTACCGTACCAATTAAGGGCTTGTTTTTGGACGCCAGTGGTTTGTAAGTGTCGGGAAGGTCCGTTGTCGACAGCCTTCAGCGCATGCTTCACAGCGTCCTCCTACCTTTTACAGGTAAGTTTATACCTGCAGCGGCAGATAACTATCGCGCAGAGAGCTGTTTCGTTACGGCATGTCTAAATGAGGTTTTTATGCGCGAATGTGGTGCATTTTCACGCTCTTCGGCCGGCGGGCCTCCCGAGCCATCTCTTGGCAACAAGATCTAATAGGCCATCAAGCATCTGCAACCTATCGAAAGCTTCTTCAACTTCCCTTACGAGGTTTGCATCTCTGAGCTTTTCCAGGCATTCCCTCTTTCCCTCCTTGTTGCGTCAAGAGCAAAAATATGCTTTCTGTCCTGGTGCAGTTATGCGTGCAGCCTTCGTGTTTGTTAAAATGGTCTGGTTGTATGCTAGCCGTACCCACAGCTGTCCACTCCACTTTTTCCAAGAGGCAAACCCTTATTTTGTCTAACGAGCTTCTCGAACGTGAGTCTCTCTTTTCGACCCTTCAGCGATTCCACGGACTTGTTGACTTTGCTGAAGGTATTTGCATAGTGCACCGGTAGACCGTTTGCCTGACCGAACCTTTTGTTTTATTCGACGTCGTTTCGAGCTGATTTGCTTAAAACACACTATGGAATATTTATTAAGCACTAGGGTGCTAGTCTGTATCTGCCACCTAGGATTCGAGCGTAGTGGTGTACTAGATAACTGAGAACTCATAACACTCGGCAGCTTAAGTGCACTTTTATATCCACTTTCTTCTACTGACTTGGGATGCTTTGGTAATACGGAAGGTCACCACTACTGTTGTCAGAAAACTGGGCCTTCGACTTTTTCGAAAAACTTCTATAGAACATATTCGTTTAGTTCGAAACACTCTTCGGCTGGCCTGATGAAATAAGCGCGTGATACCAATTTTGTTACTGAATAAGCAAGATTTTGTTTCTGTAACGATGATGAACGGAAGGCTGCGAAGAAATAACAAGATTAATGATACGGCATCTTAGACGAATTGTAATCGGCTAACTGTAAACGTGGACGTTAACTGTAATTTTGTTTAGGCCAAAAGTTAAATTCATTAGTATTCAAATAAACTGATGGAGTGACTATAAAACAGTAATGGATTAAGTGGATCAGAGTTTTCCTGCAGTTTGGTCGCAGTTCTTTTTTAAGCAGGACATTATGAGAACGTTAAAAAGAGATACTCAAATAGTGACGATTTAAATATTGGCGCTCAGGTGAAGCTCTTCCTCCGGCCTGATTTGGGCCTGCTTGTGCTAAACGTTCCAGACCTTCTGCCAAGACAACTAATGGCATTTTTACTTGAAAAGCAGCTCAAAAAAACTTTTTCCTTTGACGATTACCTAACGACAAGCATTTAAGAGCTGCCGCTATATTAGGTATATTAGAGGGATTGCTAACAAGGTCGCACAAAACATTGCCGGGAGGGTAAATCTTCTTTGGGGTAAAAGTTTTAAAAGTTAAGAAACACGACACATGAGCTTTTGATACTAGTCGTCAAGAATTCGTCTAGAAGTCACGGAGCGCGATATCCCGAAAGTCCCCGCTACCATGGCAGGTCTGCCTCTTGAATTATATACAGAATCGAGCTCAACTTTGTCTCCAAGCCCACAAAAACGTTCCACGTAGCCTGCCTTATCACAATGCTATGTCGTTTCACCAGTTCTATTCGCCCTGTCCATCGGACCTCTGAGTGATTGAAGCCCGCGCTAAGCTTTGATCCCAATGACTAGGAATGTAGTTCTGCACGCCGACGGCCTAGTTACCTAGTGGAAACAGCTGTTTTTAAGTCTAGCTGTTACCTTAAGGACATGCCAGTAATTGGGAATCCGACGAAAACTGTGGCAGGTAAGGCAGAAGACGTTTTCTCAATTACAAGCTACCTTCCACCTATGTTAACAACTTTTTATAATTCTGGCTACTTCTCTCGTTCAACAGTAAAAGTCTACTTGTGCACATCATAGGAAGGTGCAGAATGGTAATGGTAGCGACTTCAATTATTTGAAATCATGACCTTCTGTCGGTCTCTTTCCGCTTAGTCGATCTTCAAATAGCTTCGATAACTCTCTAGGATATAGAGAACATATGAAAGCTCCATTTTGCAAACTTGCACTAGTTAGATCGTCTCGATGATACGTATCTTAGGTACGTTCTTAAACCGTACCGTATGGCTTGAAACTAGCTAGGTTGATCCTTCGCTAGAACGTTCTTGGACCTATAGCAGCGCTTCAGCTTGATGCCACCCACTTTTCGTTTCAATGGATGCTTAGCGATCTAGAAACGGTCTAGCAGAACTAGACAGGAAGTTTACGAACTTGGCGCTACACTGAACCATGGACAGCGCTAAACGGCTTAAATTGTCTTATTGTAAATAAGTGACACAGTGCACGGCCTCTACCTTAAACTCCGGATTATCATCAATCAAATGAATTGTGTATATGCATCAGGTGTACACAATCAAGTGAGTGTGATAGATACACAGTGTAATATAGAGGTAATCGGAGCTCCCCGTAGGTCTAGTCTTGCTAGGGAACCTAGGATCCTAACCGTCCCAAGAAAGATACTGTCATTGATTATTCTAAAATATAAGGTGTATGTATAATATAAGGTGTGCAATATATTTTGTGATTTACCTAACAGAAGTGAATGAGGTCCACTGAACGCAACGGGATAACCGTTGATGCATACCCAGACTATATTAATTTACGTTACGCTAGGTATGAAGTGACCAACGAATCAGATTACCAATGAACGGCCTAAACGCGGACGTGTCCAATATTCCGATAGAACAATGAGTGACTGCCATAGAGTAGCACCATTGAAATTGTGGCCCATATTGGACGTAACCAATTACTCAATCAGGGCAACAAGGCGGTTGCACCAGTCTAATACGATCACTAAATCAGGGGAATAGACTCATTGTAGAGGTACAGATGCAACGGGATAATATAATTCATGTTCTTCTAGGGTCTTAGGAAAAATTTCAACTGGATATTTATCTAGATACGTGTATCTGAACGGACGTCGTTGCTTCTATTACTATCCAACGTGTAGGCAATCAAATTTTGGTACATCACGTTTAAAAAATTTAGACATAACTTGCTCATAGTGTACTCAACGCTCTCGGAAAAAAAATTTTGCAAAATTTTAGAGAATTAATTATGGATCTACCCAGCCAGCGTTGATGCCCAGCTGAAGAACCCCGGATGAATATGAAATGCACATACCGGCTTAGGTTTCATACATCTTTTTGAATGATAAATTGGATAATCCAGCTTTCTCCCGGTATCGAATTGGAGTTATATATTCCTTAGAATATGCTTTAAGTATATGCACAGTCGATTCAAAGATACAAATTTCTCTTTCGACAAAATTCTAACAAAAGAATACTCGATGTGGGAATTGAATAACCAGAGACCGTTAGCCAAGCATTGAACTTATCAAACCATTCGTAACGTATGAGCCCGTTGTGATCCTCTCATTGAACATATTATACAAACAAATAAACAACTAGTTTCCACGTGAACAAAGCAATATTATGCGTCAGGTTAACCACCTTGGCCTAGAATGCACCCATCAGGCCCGAGGTCTGCCCTGGCTTACCTTACTATTTAGAACTAACTCTATTAAAGATAAGAGGGCGCCTTGAAAATACCCTCACCGTAGCTCACTCGACTGAGCATGGATGTCTATGGTGCCTGTTTGTACCACTCAGCAACAGTGGCATCACTAAAACTGGCAGTCCTAACCTGGAGCGAACGGGCAAACGGGCTACCTACTACAACTATTCAGAATGCAGTAGCACCAGCTGCCGCAACTACTACTAGTATTAGCAACATCAACTCGACCCAGCATCAGCGCTTTTGGCTGCCATTACTAGCAGCTAACGGGCCGCTCGGCAACATCGCAATGGACAGACAAACAGAGAGGCAGTCGTTTTATGGCTAGCGAGCTAGAGGACCTTGCCTTCCCGCAAAGATGCGGAAAGCAGGATGAAATGTACACACACACACACACACACACACACACACACACACACACACAAAAACAGATATATATAGAGGGAGAAAGGGTCGGCGGTAGCAACTTCAGAGAATGCTTCCACGATCATCCCTGCTGATGTTGGCCTTTCCGCTACTAGGCCTGTTTCAATTCCCCTTTCATCCGTTGGCAAACCTGACAGCTGCAGCTGGGTCTGTGTAGACCCGTAAAAGAAAATCAACTCGCAGAAACCAGAACGCCTCAGCTATCGCCAGTTGTATTCGCTGGCACTAGAAACGCTGGTTACAACCTTTGTTTCTTTTTAGCAACGGCCAGCTAGGGAGCAGCCGAAGGGGTAGGGGGTAAACAGTATGTCTTTACCGGAAACTCGTTGGCGACAATAATCAAAGCCGCTGTCCATAATCTGACGCAGCGCTTGCGCCAATACAGTTTGAAAAGCCTTCCGTTTCTTATGCTACTGTGAATGCCCAAAAATTATCTTGTTTTGTTTTGTATACATGGACAAAGAGCCGTTTATGTTACACGGCAACCAACAGACCTCCGACTCCATAACTTAAGGCTTCACTATCTTATCGTTTAAAACGACAAGTTCTTAAGACTAGGTTTTAATGAAATAGCGTCTATTTCCTGCAGGTTGATCGTGGTGAGCTTATTATCCTAGTAGGTTCTAACCGTACCAAGCCGTAGAAAAAGCCTGTCTGAAAACTGTTTTTTAGGTTTATTCAAACGTCTAGCTGCCACGACATAGGGTAATATGTATGCCACCTCAAATCAGATAAAAAGAAATTTCATTTGATCACACATAGCTAAAATTCTATGTTGGGAAGATTAACTTAACCTACTGAACAACAAAGTAGCAGATTTTGAGATTCACCGAAAGCTTCCAAGTAGAAATTTAAGAGCCGAAATCATTGCTGGTTACTCGGGGCGTATCCAGGCCGGGCATGTGACGCGCTTCTGTTATGCCTATACTTAATATGTCTAACGTGTCTTTTCAGTAAACGTTCATAATAAATTAATATCAGGTAGTAGTCATAGTTAGCGTCACCGGTCCTTTTTTGCCAAGATAGTGAAAAAAAATTCACCACACAATTTTTGAAAAAGTATTTCAAAATGGATTTATTTACCATAGTGTAGCAAATGTTATTAAAGACGTTTTTAAGCATTAAGTTACGTAGGGAATATCGATATTCTGTGTCTGATCGGCAACGGACGGCATATTCAATGTAACTTTTAAAGCTGCTGCTGCTGTGTATTTTTTCATACCTCTCTATGAAGTATTTAAGGGTATTTTTTTGATAGCTAGTTGAAAACAGCTGTCGCTAACTGCACAGAGAGATGTGGCAAAATATCTCGAACTGTGGACAGGCATGAAGTAGTCCAAGGTTGCAGGGGGTTTGCTCTCGTGTCCACCCCTCTTTTTTTAACAACTCCCCTACAGAACAACATGTCACCAAACGGTACGACAAGGTTTGTCGTCGTTTTAGGAGAATAGGACAAGATGGACCGATAAAGCTGTTGGCAAGCCAACGAGCAGTCGTGCAGGGGTAAAGCTAGGGAGAATATTACCATTGCCGTAATCGAGGGTCGGATCATAGTTCAAACCACCAACTGCAGCTTCCATAGAAGCAGCAGCCTCTTGCTGTCCATGCGAGGCTCACCAAGCAGGGGGGTACGGAGAAATTAGCCTGGTATTGGGAAGAATGGGTCAACGGGATATGACGCTGAAGGGATTAGGGAGCTACAGAAGTAGAACTGCTGCACTCTTACCTGTATTCACAGATAGCCGGACCCGTAACAGTAACCATCATAGTCTTTCCCGCAGGCGCGGTCGCAGCTTCACTAAGCCCTTAGCCCGTCGTCCTCCTTCAACTTTTCTTTCTTTCTTTCTTGCTTGCTGCATCTCGTCCTTTACTTTACGAGGGTCATAAGTTCGCTTCAGGCGCCGGCTGTTTCCACTGCTGCCATAGCCACAACTACCGTAGTCATACCTCCAGTAGAAGCGACCATGGTGAGACTAGCATCGAGTACAGAACCCGCATACGCCAATGAGGTGTCATTTTGAAAGCTAAACAACTAGTCATGCGTTCCACACAACGATGTTGTAAGGAACATGTTCAGCTTGCGGGCAGCGTCGTTGAGGGGTTGGGGCTGTTAGTAAAGTAAAGGTAAATGCTGGACTGATGCAACGAATAAATGCGTCTAAACAGAAATCTTTCCTTAACAAGCGCCATCTCTGTAACACATAGCTGAACTATGTGGTGATACCATGGCTTGTCTTTTAATTTCGGCTATTCTGACACGTGTTAATTCTCCCAATAACTATAATGCTTCAATCTTGCTGCCGCAGCCAGGATCGTTGCCTTAAAAATAAGTTGTCAACATCATTTCTAATCTATTTATGCCAACTATCTTCGCTTGGTTGTTACTAATGTCCTAAATAATGCTAATACGGTATCGTATGAAAGGAAAGTCGTTCTTCCTTTTTTCCAATCGAATGCGCATCCTTTAGATTAGTTAACAGTCCTGCCTGTGCAGACCTCTGTGGTGAAATATGACAGATAAGCAACCACTGTTACAGTTAATACATACATTTGCATATGATGATTCATAGCCCTTCTGCAAACGTATCCGGTGCGGTGAAAGACCGATGAGGTGATTATGCATTCGGTCCGGGTGGACAAATTGTGTCAGTATGCGATTTCATAGCTTTATGGCCCCAATCGCACTCGTGATGTTTCCTAGTTCTTGGACATGATGAATCCTTGCAGTATCCCATTCGCTGTTGGGCGGTAAATTTGTACAATTACTGTCTATTCCGCTCTAGCTTTTAGCTACCGCTATTTGCTCAAGCTTTAGGGAATTTACGAATCCATCCGAATGAGCGGCATTTTTTTACGAGAGACAATTTCTAAGTAACACTTTTTGCTCAAACGCTTGTAACAGCCTTTATTAGCAGCTCGCATATGTTGGTGGCGTTATATGTTGCCACCAATACCGTTAGTAGTAGTTAATGGGTGTTGTTAGATCGTATGGACAGCCCGCCTCGCTTCTCCATCCCCCACGGGGTGCTTCGTGCCGGATTCTTGATTTCTCCAAAAACTCGACGACAACTGCGTTGTTGAATTTGTCTAAAATGAAGGCTTGTAAGTGACCGATGCGGCCAGGTCCCAAGAGTAGCTATCATATCAAAGGTAGCTGCATTGGTTAAGAAAACCCTATCCACTTCATGGACGCGTGACGGCGATCAACAGCATCTTTTCTTCAAAAGACACTACTATATAAATCCTTCTCCGAGAAGGATCAGGATAATATTTCTGTCCGAAGAGGTTTGCCGTACACTGAACGTGAGAGGTGCAAACAGACGTGATTTCCTGAATTTCTTCCACGTGCGACCACCAAACGTGTTCCTTGGCAAAAAACTATCCAGGAACCTTCAGAACGACCACAGTGTAATTCTTTAAGTTCATGTCGGCGTGGCTTCTGTGGGATAAACGCTTGTTTACTTCGAATCGTTTCGCCGTACACAATGAAGAACTCAGTGATTGGAGCACCTTTGTATTGTACTGTTTCCTCGGGCATGCCACTTTTAGGATCACCTAGAATTGCTCATTGGATTTCGCTTCAGGAAATCAACACCATCTCGTTCTGCTTCAAGCAGAGTATTCGCAGTTTCCCTTTCTTTTTCGGCATCTTTTCATAAATGTTGGTCCTTCGCGAGGAATACGGGACGAGAGCATTGACGTCGAAAACACGATCTAAAAATAATAAATTACTAAAATGATTTTTTGAAATAAAAAACTAAGCTTTTAACAAAGTGTTGATGTATTGACGACTATTAATAAACAGTTAATTTAAGCTGTAATAGCCATATATAGATCCCAACAAATCTACCGTAATACAATAGATGGTCATATAGTCTTACATCTCAGAGACAATGTTATGCGTGCACACAGAGTGTCCGGGCTGCCTAAATAAATATATATATAACGTAAAGTTAAAATGATGCCTAATGTTCGTTCTTTTATACTTTCTTTCTTGTTTCAGACGTGATTATTTCCACATTGGGAGAAGGGACATTTGGGAAGGTTGTCGAGGTGTTGGATGAAGAAACGTACGTATGTCTGAATTGGCTGATCTAGTTATATTACCCTTATACTGCTGCAGATTCTAAAACTATTTCGGATCATTGTTGACAGTTGCTTACAGTTGAGATACTGTCCTCAACCTAACAGCCAAGTACGTATTTCATTGGTACAATCTATTATGATTGAAAAGGCCATCAGTTCCGTCTATTTTATATACTGTTGCGTATTGCATAATAGAGCTAGAGCGCAAACCAAAGTGAGTCGAATAGAGCTACTTATATCCTTCATACCGTGCTAAACCCAGTCATCAAATACCGGAAAAAGCGGTTTTCAAACATTCTGGCTCAAACGTCCGTTATAGAATTCCTGCTACAGTTTTTAGCGTTTATAGTTTTAGTTTTACAAACTATGAGCAAAAGAAAAAGATACGTTAAAACCGACAACTCGGACCTAGGTTTCATGTTTTTATTAGGCACAACAAAGTTCATCTTTGAAAATTAGGATATGGGATGAATATATTCCGGAATACCATACTATTCCGGGCTATCAATTACAGCTTTGAGGCATGCAAAGCTTTCACTGGCAGTGACACTTGAACCTAGGTAAAGTTCAGGCGATGGCCGGCTGGATGAATGGACAGAGAAGGCCATGTTTAGAAATCGGTAGAACAATTCGCATAAGAGAACATAGAAATGCGCAACTTTTAACAAAAGATACGAAACAAGACGGGTCTCTCCACAGTGGGGAAGATACGTGCAGATATGAAGGAGTAATATTATCCGTAGAGCTTTCTGGATCTAGCGTTAAAGCAGCTTGTTTAAATGGATGTTCGCCTATAGCGTGTATTTACGCCCACGTTATCCCCAATGAGAAGTCATGATATCTATTTTCATGTCCATGATTCAAGTTACCACACCGGTTTTTTTTTTTTTGCACTGAACATACCACATGTGTTGTTATTTATCGCTTAAAAATATTAAATATTTTGAACAAAATAAAACGTTAAATTCATCTCCGCTCTGGGCTGGGCATGAATAGAGTAAAGAAACCCACAGTGTATATATAACAGCACGTTGCAATGCGCTATCACTAATAACAGTGTTATAGAGGTTTGGACAGGAAACATCGAAAAGGTGATTGTTACCTTTGTGACCTTAACATCGTTTCTTCGTCAGCTCTGGGTCGAAAGGCCGATCTCACGGTGGTTCCTATGAGCCCATGAAAGTTTTGGACACTCATCATCAGGATCCAATGAATGTCGCTGGGGTAGTGAAGCTGCAAATGGCTTAGAAGCCATACTTCGTAATCGAGTATTTTTCTAAGAACTGAATTCTGAATAGCTCCTTTCTCACGGTTCTAAAATTCTGTAGCTTGACGTCCGCGTGTGCATTGCTATGCTCCTTTACTGATGTAAAACGCTGCCGCGCATTTTCAGTAAAGGCCTTTCACTTCGTTATAAATATACGCGGTTATAAATAACCCTACCCCAAGTAACGTTTATATAACTTCTTATAGCATTTTGGAGGCGGCGTCTGGCGGTATATTCGAAATTCTACTTACAAATTTAAAATTACTCGATTTGCGTCATAGCACGAAGGCTCCTCAACGGTTCTCGCTAGTGGTAGGAAAGCCTGGCCTGTCAGCCTGATTCAGGTAACTCTATTAAAGACATCCTTACAGCGTTTAACGCGGCCGGTTGGAGAGCATTCTCATGAATCGTTTCTTGAATGTATTTGGCCAGCAGGCCGGCTTATTTAGGACGGAATTGACGTTACTTATTATTCCAAAGCCGATCGACCTAGCGTTCATTCTGATCCAAAGAGGATCGCTTTTGCGAAGTACATAGAAATTGAAACGATGGCATATCAAATCGTTTTCTCTAGCAATTTCTAAGAGTAATTTCAACATTGTGTTAAGATAAAACAAAAAAAAAAAATTGTTGAGATCGAGATTTTAAATGAAATTTAATTTTCGATAAAAATACCGAAACGTTTTTTCCACCGTGACTCTTCCGGTGCAAAGTCGAGCGATGTGAGCGATCTGCATCCAATTCCATTTCCCTGATTCGGTGAATCTATCAATTTACTTCAGTTACATGACTGTAATTACCCTATTATCCCGCTCGAGTGATAAGTCACGTCTAACATAATGTACGGTATCATTTCAATTGTATGCCCACTTTGTAGCACGTGAAGAAGTCAAAAAGTTTTCAATGTGGTCATTTTAATCCTCAAGCAATTCTCTAAGGGTAGACCAACTTTTCCAAATTGACATTACGCTTTATGGACAAAAACCTCCTACAGAAGATATCACTTATCGAGTGAGGAAGTACGAATTGTTCAGGTTTCGCTCATGACCAGAATTACTGAGAAAGTACCTTATCGAAGAAAGGTCTTGTATACATATAGGAGCTGATATGATTTGTACTTTAGCAATGTCCAACATTTTGGTTAAAGGAAAAAGAAAAATCAATATACGAATAAGCTGAAAAAGAGAGAAGAATTTCTATGGAAATTTTCCATATAGGCTGTTTACAGAAACTAAACAGTTGTTGAGCAAATTGCGTCTTCCATAGGTTAACATTGCACTCTGTGGGAAAGGTATTCATTCAGTTGATTTCAGCTTGCCATGACAACAACCAGGACGAGGCTCAGCCATCAATTGTCCAACACAACCACTTCGCAAAGTTAATTTGGGTTGCACAAGGACAGAGAGTTATTTCTACTAATGTACTTGATAGATCCGCGCGTTCATTTTGCCCTCAATTTGACCAATTTAATTCTTTGGTATTACATCAAGCCAATATCTTGAATTAGGTCGTTAAAGTATAGGATATATTTAGAAATAGTTATCCCGTTGCAATTACTCTGCCAGTTACCCTTTTGCATTGATTTTATCAATTTGTTCTATTTTGTTATAAGAACTATAGACTTGTCTCGCTCGCAGTATGTCAGCTTTTGACTTATTTTTCCCACGGCTTTGTAGTATCCACTCTGTTTCCGCGTTGCACGTAAATGGAATCAATTGTTGGCAGATTTCGGAAGGACACACTCGAATCGAATGGCCTTCGGCTCAAGTCGGCTAAATTATTGAATCGGCTCTTTAGACATAAATAAGCCTTAAAGTTTTCTAAAAAAATGATCGAAATAAAGATTTTCTTAATTTGCGACACGTCAACGCGGCTTTAATCATTCTGTCTTTATAATGAGTAGTTATAAATAAATTAAGTGAAGATAAAATGAATATTTCATAGTAATTCTATGTGTTTTGGTTGATTTGTGTACTTTATTCTCGGCACGTTACCAACTCTAAATAATTTTTCATCTTCTATATTTTTTTAATGTTTTGGCATTTTGTTGTGAAAATGACTTACAATATTTTTTTTTTTTAGGAAAATCAACACTTCAGTAACTGTTTTAACTTTCCAATTGGTACTTAACAAAAAACGCCCAGTAAACCGTCCAGGGTTATTTTGGAACAGCTTTTCATTCACTTTTATACACGAAGGAAATAAATGCTACATTAGATTTTTTTTATATGTTTTACGCGGAAATATAAATTTCAGTTATGGAAGGATAATGGCTCAGTTTGTCGAGATTTATCGATTAGGCAAGCAGTACGTGACGTATAAAAGAATGTTTCCCATATTTTGGCACGTTTCCCGAAAAATATCTCCGAAAACAATTTGCAAAAACAGTGTTGTCAAATTTCTAATTGGTGTATATTAGAAATTCGCTCAGTAAACCGTCCAGAATTTTCTCGAGACAAATTTTTACCTTATTGCCATATTGTCTTAAGAAAGCAAATGTTGCATTCGATTTCTCACCATTTTTACGCCAGGGTATCCAGTTTAAGTATAGCCATCTAGCGTAGCATTTTATAGCACGGCTCATCAATATTTATCGACTAATAGCAAAAAATACCCCTTCTACACAGATCTCCCTATAAATATCTCACCGCTGCTTTGTCAGAAAAAAAGTTTAAACTATTCTCATCAAAAGATAGTTCACATCAGCTTCTATAATTTACCTATAGATACCTGTAAAGGACTCAGAAGAAAAAAAAAAATAAAAACATGAAAAGCAATTTTACAAACGGGTTCTATAGTTAAATAGGCACCTTTAATGAAAGATCTGATCCATGCTTTACCTAGCGAAACAAATGATAGTGAAACTTCTGACCTAGAGCTTCACAGTTATCCTGTTGCGGTTTGAGGTTGCAGTTACCTCGTTACAGTAGTTCTTCTGATTTAGTCAATCTGCCGATGACCGTTAGAGTTACCTGTTGTAGTCTCATTGAAATATTCCAACCGTCTTGTTGGTGTGTCGCAGTTTGATATAATGTTTGATTTGTGTTGCATTTAATATAAGCCATTGCTCTACTGTAGATTTAGGCTTTTATGTTCGGCGCAGCTTTCTTGAAACCCTGCTATATCATTTTGTTGTCTTATTGCAACTTTCCGGTTATCGTTATTTTATACCTTTGATCTAGTCAATTTCGTACTTGGGATAAGCGATCCGTTAATTTTGTGCAATCATTCACCGAAAAAAATGTATTCGCACACTGAGATGGTTCATTCATTATTAATTATCATTCGATGGTCGGGAGGGGTAGCTCCATGACTCTAGGCACGATGCTTCCCAAGTAAGAAGAGTCTGTTAACATATAGTCTGCATCCTGCAACCCGATGTTCACAGAGATAATAAAGGCCCCAAAAAGTTCCTACCTACTAACTCGCTACGGTAGGCAATAAAGATGCCAAAACAGAGTCAGTTTCTTCAAGCTATCAGGGCGTTGTGTGGAGAATAGATAAATTCCCCCGTAAAATAAGACCTGGCAGGCCACAACAAATACTGTTGAATAGCTAAGAAAACATTTTTATTAGTGAAGAGATTGCCTACTACTGAGGTACTCGTTGTAGGTTCATTTTTAACTCTTGCCTGTAAGTCTATCCGTTTGTAGTATCAGAAGTGCTGCGAGGAGGCCAGTTCAACGATGTGTTGCAAGCCTTCACTATAAAACCCTGCGAATTATGCTTCTGGTGGCGATGCTGCCTTTGCGGAACGCTTTCTCAGGGTTATTTATCCTCGAGCGGTGCTAAGAGCTACGAAAAGTTAACCGTGTTTGAACATGGGTTGTCTCAGAGGAAAAGGCTATCCGTGATTTGTCCTCGCATTGTGTGGGTAGTCATGACGAGGCATGGTTACATCGGAAATTGCCCGCGGCTAGGTTCTACGTCAGCGCCTTTCAAAAGAGCGACTCTTTGAATTGTATCGTTGTTATTTCGGTGGCAATGAGATGCTCATGCATGACTATCCTAGCTCCATTGCATGGTCTCGTAGGGTTGAGGGTCCTCATCAGGATGATCGGGGCGCTGTACCGATGTCGGGATTGTCAAGAAATTCAGTCGTGGAGTAAGTCGCGTCGGTATTTCCTAGGACTTGACTGGAGGCTTGGTAAACTGTAGTCTCTTGAGGAAATCGACTGACGTAAAAATTATCATTATTTTGGACTGCTAGATATTAATGTGCATGTTGTTGAAAATGTGTGAAATAAAGCGTAGAACGAAAGACGTAGGTAAATCACGTCGATGCTCTATGCCGTAGGAGTGCGCTGTATAACACTGTTGGCATGCAAAATAATGGTAATGCGAGCGGTTTTTGGGTACCTAGCAGAGGCTACAAGTAGCCAACATCAGCTGCTGTAAGGCACAGGTTAGCGGCCGGGTAATGTATCGTGAAGGTCCCTTAGAGATGGGAGCATTTTTAATATATGCATTACGGCCACAGTTGACAATAGTTAAGAGCTGCCGGAAGTGCTCAGGGTACACCGTCAAGGTTCTGTCGCACGTCACGGAGCGATCGCTCAACGGGCTTAAAGACTTTTGCATTGAATCTGGGGCACTCGTTCTTTACAATAAACGCCGTTTAGCTGAGGTGGTCAACTACTCCCGGGTCTTGCTAAGGCTGCGTACTGCGCTCTCGTCGACATGAAGGAGAATCTCGAAACGAGAGCGCGCAGTGCGGACACGAAGCATAAACATTGCAGCGATGTCTAAAGAGACAACTGCAAGCGTTACTTTTGCGCAAACGAAGTATGTTTATGAGGTAGGTTTTATGCGTACCTACTAGCGCGTTGAGAAAGGTCATTTTGCCAACATTTGCCTCTAAACAAGCGCAGAACCCAAATTGGACTTCTTTCTGGACGTTAGGAGTTTTTCGTGTGTTAGTTATATTTAAATTCCTTATTGATCTAAACGTTCACAACGTTCGTTTAGTTTTCTTATCGGTAAGGATAGTTGAAGTCGTGTGAATTCTTGGTGTATTCTGTCGACCTGGTTTGAAGAAATCCCAAATTGCCTATGGCACATGTATGGTATCGGCATGTGCCGTCATCTAGTTTCAGTGTTCGTCTTCTCGGAAGAGCATCTAGACTCCCTCGAGCATGGTAGCTTGACGTGCGTCGCATGCTTTAAATGCATCTACCGTTGTAGGCCAACGGAAGTGATAGAGCAGGAGGTTTAAGTAATAAATCTCGTCCCAACGGGCGTTAACTGTGCAGATGCAACCAAGGACATTTGCTAACAAGTATATTGGGAAGTGGGTGATCCAGGAACCCTGCCTCCGTTTCGCCACTGGTTATTTGTCGCGTAGAACTTAACACTACCCAACGTTGAGATACTTATCTCAATATAGGGTAATGTTTGAGCGAACGGATATTGTTCGCAAAGCGTCATCAATGTACTGAGCTTCGTAGGCAATCTCCGAAGCTCAAGGTTATGTGCTCTCGTGGAAAAACATTTGCTGCTTTTGCGGTGAGTGCAGATAAAGTTCCTCAATATAAGGGTGTCATCTGTGAAGCGGAAAATTTCTGTACCCGGAAGCGAAAGCCCCAGGTCCTGTCGGGCTGCGTGACAAGCTAACAGGGTCTGACGTATCGAACGTTATGATTCTTATCTATCTCTTCAACCTTAAAGATAGCTTTGCCCCTACCCTTTAGTTCGTACATTATAATATATTGAATCGACTTAACAGAAGAGCATATTTTGATGTTCAAACGGCAGTCGAAGGCTTCTAGAAGGTCGATGTTGTACGGAACCACCCACTGCGATGCGATGGTATGGTTAACATGTTTCCGGCCATTTTTATAGCTCACGAAGCCGTTCATGTTGCGGATCGATGTCTACTCGTCGGATGAACATTGTCGGCGTACAATGTGCGTTGTGTGTAGGGGTTGGCGTATTTCATTGGAAATCTCATTGTGAACTGATTGTGACAAATGCGCAAAGCTGTGCACAGTTGTGCCTACTCAAACAAAAAAATAAGGGCGAGCGTTTTTTTCGTTGTCACTCTTATTTATTTCATGGAAATGAACAAACGCCTAAACGAATTCTTTGGAGTCACTTCTCTTAGGTATAAGATCACACATTATGCCCCCTCTAAGAACCTAAGCAAGGGGTCTTACCAGATTTATCTGGGTCTTCTCCAACAAGTCTATGAAATGGCACAGAAACGACTCAACCAACTATTAAACTTAAATCGTTTTTCTCCCTAATACCTAATTTTCCTATTATTATTATTAACTGCTAGCAATCAGTTTTGCCCACGCTGAAACAGCGCGGTATATACTTTTTACTTCTGGTTGTTATGGCAGTACATTCAAAGAGATACACATTTCTCACCCCTCTAACTATGTATGTATGTATGGTTCGCCCTTAGCAGCAAGCTTTCACGTTCGTCAGCGTCGTTGCTTTAGCCGATCTGATGTCGTATTCAGAAATTATAGGAGACTAACATTACACTTCAAAGCAAATGCAAAATTTTCCCTGTAGCGCAGCAATATTTGGCCAGTCAGCTCCATCTTCTACTGCGCTTCTTCCAGGGCGAACCTATATTACCTGCAAAAAATCAATCCGATCCGTTTGCCCATATGTTTCAAGACTGTTACTAGGGCGGGGCAAATCGCGTATTTTTGGCAAACGTTTCAGCAATATGAATTCTGAAAAGATTACTCGGAGAGTTCAAAGGAACTGGTTCGATTATTGATGTCCAACCATCGACACGTGTTTGTCTAGGTCATTCAACAGAGAAAATTACAGCTGTTCATTATACAGAAGCCGCAAATCCTGGAACATCCATTCAGTATCGTTCTCAAACATGCAACGCTTCAACACGCTCAAAGAAAAACAAATGATTTAGGTCCTTAGGCTTACAAAATCCAGCTCACCTGACAGACAAATCATGCGCAGCAAAAACAGATCATCAGTTGAGCAATTAATCAACGACGGCTAAACAATGAGACCTCCAGCAAAATTGTACTCGCCTATGAGGCCCATAATCATCTCCATGATCTCGTAAACATTTAAAATTATGACGCTTGCTATGAAGAAAACCTACTTGTCTTTTACGAGATGAAAACGTCACTGTTTTGTACGGATTTTAAGCTATGGGCATTACTAGACCATTTGTTCTATAAAAACCCTGCCGGAAATGTAAAAAAAGTCAGGACGCGGCAATTTAGTTTTTGTGCCAAAAGTGGGTAGTATGGATCTCAAAGACACGTACCTCCGACAGAATGATTCCACTTGTCATATATCATAAAAAACATTGAATATTATTGCACAATACATTCCCTGGCCATATGATCTCCTTTTAAGACTGCTAGAATTAGCCGTCTTTATCGTACAGCTCGATGTTTTCAAACTTCTTGGGTTTTTCAAGAGATTATGTCGCCCTTAAACTTCGACGGAAAAGACCAGCTGCCACAATTATGCCAAACCATCACTGATAATTTATGTCCTTGCGTCTATTTACAGTATACCGTATCGGAAAGTAATAATACTTTGTTGATTACTCGGTCACAGTGTTTTTATGTATGTCAATGTTTCGTTTTTTAGCCAGAGCTTTTACTGCCCAAACCACTACGCTAACTATTTTAACAATAACTTAAACAATATAATTTATGAGCAAGTGCAACAATAATAACTATTATTATTATTATTATTAATAGAACTTCTACTGATGTCGTTTATGTGTGTTTCTTGTTTTTTCATGCCTATTATGCACCTGATATGACGCATACAAAACAATGCTTTACCATAAATTACCGCTATCCACCAGTGACCAGAAGTTAGCACTAAAGGTAATCAAGAACGTAGACAAGTATCGTGAGGCAGCCAAGTTAGAAATAAACGTGTTGGAAAAATTGCGCCAAGGTAGAGAGCCAGCCCTCCAAACTCTCTGCGTACGGATGCTTGACTGGTTCGACTACTTCGGTCATATGTGTATATTATTTGAAATGCTGGGGATATCCGTCTTCGACTTTCTTGTAAGTACGATTTCAGTAACGCTAGGTTAAATGAGAGTAGTTACGACTAAACTAATAGAATCAACAACACATTTTTTTAGAAACGTATCCATCAGCTGTTAATCAATAAGTTATTAAGTTATTCAACTGAATGTGATTGTTTCAGAAAGAAAATCATTACCAGCCCTATCCCTTAGATCAAGTCCGACACATTGGATATCAGCTCATACTTTCCGTAATGCGTGAGTAGAATATCGTCATAATTGCAATTCACAATAAATATTTTAACTATTTTTTAGTAAATAACCCAGTTCACGAACCCGGTTGGAGACTTTACGGATATTTCTCTGCTGTGATTCTAAAAGGCATTTCTTGCTTTTTAGTTATCGTTCTGTAACTCTGCTTTGTGGGCATCCCAAAGGTAATGAGGTTCCTCTAAGTTAGAGAAATCCGATCGAGCACCATGAGAATTACTCTGATGGTTCCTATGCCACTGTGGAAAACCGGATGGTCAAGGTACACGGTAACACGCAACAATTACTGTCCTATATGAACTTATGTTTTCTATGTGCCCTGTCACTTTCTACTGTTCCGTTATCGTTAAGATGTTGTCTTAAAAAGAAGCGAGGAGGTTATGCTAGTAGTAGCTAAATCAAAGGCGTGCGGTTAAAAGGTCGTCCTTTCTTAGAGAGAGAAAGTTAACTACTTCCTTATTGCATGCAGACATACATACACACTATTTCCTTGTGTTTACTGCAGTTCGAATAATTTCTCCGTCACCTTCGTGAGTCCCTCTATTCGACGGACGATGTTCGTTTTGATGATCATGAAAAACTGGACATTAAAAACGATGCTAGCGTTTCATTTTTGATACCCAGTTATCTAGTTCGGTCACTTGGTCGTTGTGGCAGGAAAAGAGCTATCTGGTACTTAAAAAGTTTTGGCGAATTTGACCGTCTGGCCGCTGTGGTGAATAGCAGTGCCATCTGATACATGAAAGCTTTGGCCGTCTGGCTGTTGTGACAGGAAATGCTTCCATCTAGTACCTGAAAGATACTGCTAAGGCTGCTAAAGCCTGATTTCCAGTGGGGAGCCAAACAAAAGTAGCAGGATATAAGAAATCTCTAAAAGCCAACAATATTCTGGGGGGGGGGGGGGGCAAAAAAGAAGACCCAAACGAATACCACGCAGGGGCTGCGAGTTATGAGTATTAGTACACCAAGGAGAAAGAGTTTACAAATGAAAGCTGAGCATCCCAAATCGATACGAACGAAGCTCGTCGAGCAAGGTCCAAGCAGATGTTGAAACAATGTTCGTGGTAGTACTCACAGAACCGTAGAAGCAAAAGGTCCAAGAGCCACGAATTGGCTCAAGCTAATTTCAGGCTTGTGTCCTTAATTAGACGTAGCATGTAAGGCAGCGCTGAGAGCTGTGATATTAACTACCAATATCGATCTATGTCATCGTTGTGCTCGCTGCCCACAGATAGCAAGTGGTTTTGTCAAGTCACCTATCCTACAATTGGTGGTCAATACACTCGGGGTCACTAATGCACGGAATGTAGAATTTTTCAAAATCGTAATCGACTTTGCAAATATTATTTACAATTTTTAAAATAATTTTTGCTTTTTTTAACCGTTTTTAAAAAACAAGTTCGTTTATAAAACTCTAATTGGAATATGAAATATTATATTTCCTATATTTACATATCTAGATAAATAATGATGTACTCGATAGCTAAATTTTCATATAATGGTTGTAAGCGGCAATTGTTTTGACGCCACTAATGCGAGGTTTATGTATGCGAGGTATTTCAGAACTATGTGTTGACCATAACATATATCAGAACGAGCAGTAGATGTAATGTAACTCTTCGAGCCGTCTTCCAAATTAAGAACATTATAGTAGAACTTACTTGCTTTCAATACCCCTACATACAGGGTTTCTTATTGATATTGCTTTTTCTTTCGCTGTAGCGTATGTTCCTAAAATGTTTTGCTATACCTAGTATTCCAGTCACACGAAGCTATTCCTAAAAATTGCACGCACACTTCATACAAAACCCTTTCGGTGACACTGTCCCATGGCTGCTGAAAGTATCGAAGAATTACTTTCCTGTATTGAGCTGATCTGGTTTTACTTTTTTGCCTGTTGGTCGATAATTTTACCAGCACTATTTTGGGCCTCGATCCGCCGGCGTCAATAAAAATAGGCCCTTCAATTTTTTGCTCATACGTTTTCACTGCCGAACGTCGGCCTCGCGCGTATTGCGGTGAGTCATTCGAATATAAAAGTTGTTAGCAACGAAAATCTGTTGGCCTGATTTCAGCCCACGTTTTTTTTGTACAATTAGCACTTTCTTACCCTTTAATTCACGATTAGGTTACACAAGCTCAAAGCGGAGCCTTGAAAATAATAGTGTGTCGTGTTCTGTCTAATCCTTATAGTGAAAAGATTCTCATGCACGAGTTTTAAGATTAAAATAAACTTTATGCAAAAATATAAGCCTTAAGGCCACTGAGTTCTAATTTGAAGAGACTGAGATCAACCAGGAATTTTCCGAGTCTCATGCAATATACAACTATTAACTAACTAGCCTAACATAGCGACAACAACAACAGCAGGGCAATCTTAAACAATCTGGGCAAAATAGTTTTTGATTTTCGATGCAACAAGTATGTCGTGAAGAGTTTCACAGGTAGCTATTCAGTTGATTCAGCTAACAACGCTGTACGGTCATGCTAAAGAAGACACCTGAAAGGCTAACGGCGTTGATGAAGACCTGATGTTGTTTCGTTTGTGATAGACGTATACATTGATTTGTGCAAGTCAGGCCTTTGTAACTGTGAAACGCAGAGAATGTCAGACTCACTTTGATGCACGAATCGACGGATAGATATTTGTCTAATTGGTACAGCATTGCGCCATTAATACACATGTACATGAGTTAATGTTTCACCTAAAATTACAAGCGCATACGTAATAATGGGTTTAAGAAGGGATCTATAAAATACATGTTGGGCAAATTTCTAGTCCGAAAACTAGAGAGTATAGCAATGTCGCCATTGCGCTTTAGCCCAATTTAAGAAAATGACTAACCCAGTGTATTCGATGTCCAAACCTTAAGTGAGAATAATTTCGCAATGAACTTAAATGAGTGTGCGTTACTATAACATTGGAGAGTTTCAAAGACGACGTATTTCTTAAAGTATGAGACAAAAAAGCGTACCACATCAATCATAGCGCGTTGTCTTCTAGCCCATATGTCTTATCAATTTCCTATCGCGAGAATGTGAAGCTCTGTACCTTGAAAGTTTACGAAATGCCCGTATTTTGCACATGTAGCATAGCTGACAATAAGACTTATCGTGTCGCCCTGTTTTTAGCCACTAATATGCTAATTTGGTGAGAAAACAATTTCAACCTCAGTTAGTTTGAGGACACACAGTTGCGGCGAGAGGATCGTATATTAAATACGTAGGACGTTTTTAAAAATCGAACGAAACAAAGCATGTACAGGTTCAACAATTAATGCCTTCCAGAGGTTGAGGGACCTTATACTTTTGAGAAAAAATATGCTTGATAAGAACTACATATAATACTACAGAACTTTAAACATAAAGGTTTTCTGAAATTGGTCAGGAGAAGCGTTGTAGCCAGTTGTACCAATGCCGATAACGATACAGCAGGTGGGTAGAATGTTTCGATAACTAGAAAAACTTAATGTCATAGATAAATTTCTAATACTTTTAATAAAACAACTCACGCAGTGTGGCATAACAATAAACATCATCCGAGTCGCACCTATCTGCACGGCAGAAATTATTTTGTATGGAGGTATGACATGAAAGGTTTTTTGGTCTCTCATTCTTGGTCTCGTATTATATTGTGTATCCGTTTAATATTCAGTCAATTAGTTTTGTGACATCGGGAAAACTGTTTTGTAGAGCTCAAAGTGAGCATGATAGAAACGGGATTACAAAAGTGCATGAATTCTGCTAATGTGTAGAGGTTAAAACGATGCTAACAAAAGAAATGCGAGCAGTGGGAAGTAGGCGCTGAAGACTGGAAGGTCGTCCCCTTGAGAAGCCTCATGTTCAACATTCAACAGCACGACATACAGGTCTTCCTAAGCACATATCTCTTTTTGAAACATGAAATTCCTAAAGCTTCGAAAAGGACCCATTATCTATCCCTAAATGTTTGCGTTTTTCACTTTGAAACGAAGGTCCCCTCTTTGGCCTGCGATATAGTATCAGTGAAATCCATTTTGCTTGAAAGAACTTACCAAGTTGATACGTATGTTGTAAAATCCAGGACGAAGTGCGATCCGTTGGAATGGATGTCTTCTAGGTAGACATTTTTTAATCATTCTATAGGATGACACGTTTTATCCCTCTAGGTCTTCATCAAATAGGAATAAAAGCAAGCTTTCTTCTTGGAGACTAATGTCGCCAATGGGCGTTGTGTTATATGTATGTATATGAAACAGTTATCAACTGAATCGAGACAAATCATCAGAAGGCTGCTCGTTCTGCTAAAATAATTTTTGGTCTCGTTTTTTTGGGTAAGAAAAATCGCGAAGGTTCTATTATAGACAATTTAGTGACGTTTGAGAGGAATATAGGCGTAGTCCGACACAACAAAATAGCACTGCATGAGGTAACTCTATTAAATCGTAGCTCTTAATATCGAGTGTTTCGTATAGCCTTGTGCCAGTTTGCCTTGCGCAAGTATCGACGACGTTCTACAGATGTAATACTTATGTTTAATCTAGTGATGCAGCGATATTTGGCTTGTGTAAATGTATGTTCTAACAGGGAGCGATTAGATTTTTCCTAGTTTCAGCCCCGTGTTCAAAATAGGCACGAAATACCGTCCGACGAGTTGGCCAGTTGTGTTACAAGTTTAGCATTACCGTCTACGAAAGCTCCTACTTACATTTTGTAAAATTAAAAAAACAGTATTGCAGAAACTCCATCGTGAAAAAAAAAACAGGCCTGAAAGCGCGATTCTAAGTTAGCCACGATCATTACTAATTTGGACCAAACAGTGCACAAGTTTAGAACCCTAGCTGTGTACAAAAGTTTCTGTGAAAACCTATATTAGGCCAGGTAAGGGTTATAGGCTAGCGTCTTTGTTTTGAACGAAACAAGAAAACTGTAGCTCTGGCCAATACCATATCATTGATTAGTCAATTTCGTCACAATGTGTCCGCATATAGCGCTTATGGGCGACTATA